TTTTTTTTTTTTTTTTTTTGAACTGCCATAAATTTGATTATATACAGATGGTTTGTTGAAGCTGTCTGTTGTTGAGTTTAAAACCAGAACGCCTCGACTGACCCTTTCTGTTTAAAACAGCCGTTTGTGGGCCGACAGACGCCACTGTTATTGTTTTCACGTTTTAAGCCTGCTTAACTTAGGCAACACCTTTCAGCTGCTGCTGGATAAAAAACAGTTTCACTCAACTTGGACTGTTTTGCTAGATCATGTGATTTCCTGACTTTTCCAGCTGCTGGTAAAGCTGCTTGTTTCTCCACGCGGGGGGGGGGGGGGGGAGGCGCGTCCTACCAAATGCTGGTACGGAGGAAAAAACAGAGTATTAAACGCTTTTCCAGAGAATATGAGGCATTACTGTTTTCCTCTGCTATTATGCCCTGCATAATAAGATGCTGTGGACTGTATTATTATGCAGCACAGAGGGGGACAAATTATAGGGCATTAGCTTGCTTTAGAAGTTTTCACAGAGTTTCTGTTTGACATAAATAAGAGTCTTGTATTTTGTCCCGTTGGTGTTTTTTTTTTGTTTGTTTTGTTTTTTTTGTATGGGGCATGTTGGAGAACTTGGTGGGTATAAGCTGCACAATAGCGCAAAATCCCTGCGGCTATAAGGGCCTATTGATGTATTGACAGTGGCGTGTGCTCCAGCTAATTAAAATAAAGTGGGGTGTTTTGATCAGTGCCAGCTACTGACCAGGGAAAGCAGGAGAAAATTCCAGCTGACACATCAGTACAACTCCCTGGATGTTATTGATTGTCAGCGAAGGAGAGAGCAGCTCTTAACGAGTTCAGTTGTGTTTACAGGATTTCAAGAGGGCAAATCGTGTTTATTTTTCACGCACTCGCTCTTTGTGACGTTTAAGACTCTGTGTGACCCAGCGGTGACTCAACTCGCGCAGATAGGAATCTTACTTGTTGCGTGTTTAGGCTCTTATCAGAGGGGAGTGGTGGGAGAAGTTTGCTCCGCCGCCGTCCTCCTCTGTGTCTGGAGGGCCGGTGGAGGAGGGGCTTCGCTGTGATTAAAAGCAGATTGGGAGCGTTTCCTGTTGCAGCGCGCTAACTTCACCAAGGTCTCTCTCTCTCCTCTCTGTGCGCCCATGTGCCACCCTCCCACGGTCTCTCCCTGCCCTGTTTTTCGCTCGATTCCCCCTTCGGACACAATAGTCGGACACATCTGGAGAAACTGGGATTAAAAATAGGTCACGGCTATCAATGCTGTTTCCTCCTTATTCTTTGGTTATCAGAGATGGAGTGGATTGATTTTTTTTTTATCTCAGACTATAATTTATAACCTAGTGTCTTATTAACATGTCGTGTTCTTGTTTTTTTCTGAACACCACAGAAAAATATGTCATGAGTAAAACCAGGAAATACATGTTCCTATGGTACTAAATTTAGACAGTGTAATTAATGTCTGAGGTCATTATAGTACAGCGCATGCTAATAAATAAATAAGAAAAAACATAAAAGTGTTGTGTAGCAGTAGTATTATAATAACTTATGAGATCATGCAAGCCCTTTAAAGTGTTTAATTTTATATTTGCATTTATTGGTGCAAAGATAAAGGGATGTTTGTTCATCCCTTTGCTGGTTTTTATGACAATTTCAAAGTGTTTTGCTGACATTTTGCACACATTTTAACCACGAGTTACAAATTTGTTTTCCTTTGTACTTCATATATAGCATAAAAATGATCATGAAAATGTCAAAATCAGAATTATAGATACATGTAACAGTTCGTTATATTGCTAGAACTTTTTATTGAACCCCAATTAAACTTTTCTTGGTTTTGATCCGATCCCTCTTGTCTATTTCCGAAATGTGAGACATGACCTCTGATTGAAGTCAAAATAACTCTATGAAGTTACCTCCAGCTGGTGGATGTTCTTATTGGAGTCCTTTTACCTCATTTGCTTCCAGTCGACTATGAGAAAACTATTAAAAATCGCTTTACATCTGTGTGAGACGTTCTGGTGGGGTAAGAAGTGATGAATGGTTGGTACAAAACGTCCTGTGGCTCAACTTTGAACCCAGAAAAGTTGGTTACAAAGTAACCAAGGCAACAATGCTAAATAATAGCAAAGGAGGGCTTGGGGGCGGGGGGAGAGAGACCTGCACTTGAATTTACTTGAGCATAATTTTTTTTCTTCAATTTCTTTTGCATAATTTATTTCATTTTGCAGTTTTAGTCATTTTAATCATCTATCTTAAGATAAATAATTGCATGTTTTATTAAGATGTGTATTCATTTCTGTCACTTCCTTCTTTGCTTTTTTTCTTTCATTATGTCTATTTATTTATTTATTTATTTATTTATTTACTTCCTTTTCATATCCTGGGTTTAGCTTTTTCACATCGATACCCATATTTGACTTTGAAGTCGGGTTTGGTGAAAAATCTCCAAGTTTCCAACTCAAAATTTCAGAAGATATTCTCCTCAAATTTTTCAGTCTTTAAGCTCCGTTACAAAAAACAAGCAGGTTTGGAGATAAGCGGATAAAATTAGAAATCTAAAATGTTCACAAAATCTATTGGCGTAAAAGTTACAAATTCAGATTTTTCAAAGTTTTCACCAGGTTCATTCCAATGTGTGACACACTGTAAAACAAACAACAACAAAAAAAGCCTTCCTCGAGTATGTAGCGAAAAGCGGCGACTACAAAACTCCAAGATGCAGATGGAGGAATGTTAAAAGGAAATGCAAGAAATAAATAAACGGGAGGAAATGACGCGCAAATAAAGGGTTCAAATACTGAAAGAAAAACTATCATGGAAACACTTTTATGGTGAAGTTATACACTATTTGTTGGAGTTTACCTGCAGAAAATAGTAAATTACTCAACCTAAAGTAAAATCTTCTGATTATACTACTTGTTCCATCTGAGAGCGACCAAAAGAAGAAGCGCGTCGCAGGTGTTTGAGTGTGTTCTGCTGCAGCAGTCTGACGGTGTTTGCTCGTGTTTAGGCGGAGGGCGATCGCCTGCCTCCCGGCCACACGGTCAGCCAGCTGGAAACCTGCAAAATCCGCAGCATCCGCGCCGGGACTCTGGAGCGCCTGGTGGAGACGCTGCTGACGGCTTTCGGAGACAACGACCTCACCTACACCTCCATCTTCCTCTCCACCTACAGAGCCTTTGCCAGCACCCAGACTGTACTGAAGCTGCTGCTGGACAGGTATAGGCCGGATAATTTTTAGTTTTGTTTTGTTTTCTTCATTTTTTAAATCTACATAAAAAAGAAGAACATGATATACATACGGAAGAGGATTAGGGCCACTGGCTGACTTTAATCTCAGAATTCTGACTTGAATCTCAGAATTCTGAAATTAAAGTCAAAATTCTGAGATTAAAATCTGACTTTAAACTCAGAAATCTGAGATTAAAGTCAGAACTGTTTTGTTTTTTTTGTTTTTCCAGTGGCCCCAATCCTCTTCCATATGTATATGATTGTGAACGGCTGCAAGTTTATTAAATTGATTTTTTTTTTTTTTTGGTTTTTTTAATCTCTGGCAGGTATGGGAGTGTGGAAGAAAATGATCAGGAAGGCACTGAAAGCAGTGAAGCCATTAGAAAGTGAGACTCGGTTTCAATACGTCACAGTCACTTCCAGCCGAGCTCCTGTTGGCATCAGTGATTAATTACACGCGTCTGTCTCTGTGCACCGACAGCGCCCTGGCTTCCATCCTGCGTGCCTGGCTGGACCAGTGTCCCGAGGACTTCCAGGAGCCTCCGGACTACCCCTGCCTCCACAGGCTGATGGAGTACCTGCGCAAAGCTCTGCCAGGTTCAGAGGCGCTCCGACGTGCAGAGGGTCTGCTAGAGCAGCTGCAGGGTCAGGCCAACATGGACGAAACAGACGGTATCGGTGTTTTTTTTGTTTTGTTTTTTTTGTGTGTGTGTTTAATTTCCTCTCTGTTTTTCGTCAATTTATTTGGAGACTAATAATTTATTTATTTATTTATTTATTTTTTGGTCTGTTTTTAGTTGGTTTCCAGGGAAACAGCTCCTTCTGCCTCGGGGAGGACGAGGAGGTGGAAATTGAAGTCCAGGAGGACTTCCTGTCGTTTGAGGCCGACCTGGTGGCCGAGCAGCTGACCTACATGGACGCGGTAAGAGGAGGGAGAGGAAATGGAAACATTGCACATTTTTATGATGCTTTTCCTCTGAAAATATCCCTCCGTTTACAGCCTTCGTCAGAGGAGGCCGCTGGATGTTTTCTGAACGCCAAATGCAGAAAAATTCAGAAATATTTTAATGTGATGATCCCACAAGAAAACTTTGGAATTTCATATGTTTGTTTAAAATCAAATACTTTGTAAAAAAAAAAAAAAATTGATTAATGTATCCTAGTAAAGTCAGAGAAGCTCATCTTAAGTACATCTGAAAAAGCTTCATTACTGTTTATGAAACCAGATGATGAAAATTTCTCGCGTGTTGCCATCACGTGTGACAAAAAAGTGAATTAAAAAGCCTCACAGAAACTTATCTGTTTTGGATATTTTAAGAAATTTTTTTCTTAAAAAATTAAGAAAATACTTTTTTATTTTTTTTAGAAAATAAGAAAATGTGTAGAGGTTTTTTTTCTCTCTATATATATAAAGTGAAATTTTTGCTCGGCTTTCAGTTTTGGCCCCTTTTCAAGTACTTTACTTTCCCGCCGATTCTTTGATACCTTACTTCGACAAGTAAAAGTAATTGAATAAAAACTTTGAGACTTGACAAAAAGTTAGAAACTTTTTCAAATATCTATATGATCTCAATCTGCACAAGTTGTAGAAGCAAAAGTTGAGCTGTTAGAGCACCAAACATCCATTAGCACCACATACGCCGACTAATTTGAGAAATTACTCAAGCTACTTGAACTTACGCTGCTCTTGTGTGGAAATCCAGCTATTTCTGCGCTGGACTCACAGCTCCTCTTGGCCATACTCAGCAGCAGTTTCTGTATCTTTTCTTTCCAGCTGTTGTTCAAGAAGGTCGTCCCCCACCACTGCCTGGGCTCCATCTGGTCCCAGAGGGACAAGAAGGACAACAAGCACAGCGCTCCCACCATCCGCGCGACCATCACCCAGTTCAACGCCATCGCCGCCTGCGTGGTGAACACGGTGCTGAAGCACAGACAGCTCAGGCCGCACGTCAGGGCGAGGGTCATCCAGCGCTGGATAGACATTGCCCAGGTCAGGAAAAGTCCCAGAAGCATCCCAGATTGCGGACGGAAAGTTGCGGGCCACATTGTGACCGTTTGCTTGGTTTCTCTGCGCAGGAGTGCAGGATACGCAAGAACTTCTCATCCCTGAGAGCGATTGTGTCGGCGCTGCAGTCCAACCCTTTGTACAGACTGAAAAGAGTGTGGGCCTGTGTTCACAAGTAAGCATTCAGCCTCTCCAGTGTGCATAGTAATCTGTTTTAAACAAGTCGGACTTTTGGCAGAATTTCCTGGAAGCAAGTTGCTGCGTTTTTTTTTTTTTTTTTTTTTTTTTTTTTTTTTCACCTCATTTTTCACACCTTTTTTTCTCCC